AATATATACTGCTTCGGCTTTATCCATTGCATATGGGTCCTTCACTCTCTGTGTGTATGTGTTGGGCCGTCTGCTATATTTCTATGTGCTACTCGGCGGTAGTTGGCGTGTCTCACTTGGTTTTACCTCGTTCTTTCTTTTCCTCTTTTCCCTTTCCCTTCCTCACACAGTCTTTGAAAGCTTCTCAGCGAAAACACACAGCTAATATGCTCGCTCCGTATGCGTGTGTGCGGGCCATGGGGCATCGTCGCTATTCTCCGCACCCCCCGGTGTTCATGCTGCTGCTGATGCTGCTGTGCTGTACGGCCGGGTGTCTCGCCGAAAGTTCCCACCGCTCCATGCACGGTGAGACAAGTCAGAAGAGTATACAAACTGCTATGGTGCGGGAGATACCCCTCAAGGGGCAGGGAGGAATGCAGGCATACACCGCCACTGCGGCCGTCGACTCCGGCGAGTCCAAAGATGCCAAGATATTTGAACCTATTCGCATCAAGGCATACACGAGGGACCTGAACGACCCATCAAAGTACTGCACAAGGGCAGGGGATTACTGCGATACACCCAGTTATAATAGGCAATACTGCTATCAAGGCAGTCTGCTAACAGTAAGGAAGAAAAAAATTTTGGAGGAATGGTCCGTTCCCGCAGCAATTAAACTCCACATGGACCGCCTCCAGGTGCAACGAGCTGAAGAGATTGTTAAAATGCCAAGAGAAGGTGGAGTATGCGGCTGGTACCACATCCCTGAGGAGCACTTTACTAAGGGTTTGGCAGATGCCGATTTGCACGTTTACGTCAGCGCCGCAGCGTCAGACAGCTATTCGTATGAGATGACTTGCCTGAGGTTGAAGAATCACCGTCCCATTGCTATTGCCATCAACTTGGAACCCAGATCTGTGATGGCCACTGATCATCATATACGTACAGTTGCACATGAGATTGCACATGGTCTTGGTTTTGAATCCGCGACCTTTGCTCGTCTCAACATGACGACTGTCCTTGAAGAAAAAAAATATATACGCGGCAAGCCTTACGTGTTTCTGATAGCGACTCCTAAGGCAAAAGAAATAGCACAACAGTACTACAACTGCAAGGATGCCCCTGGTTTGGAGCTGGAGGACCAAACTATGAGTGCTGTATCGCACTTTGAAATGCGCAACATTAACGATGAAATGATGACACCTGTATCCAGTGTTGGAGGAGCCTACAGCGCACTGACACTTGCAGTTTTTGATGACATGCCATTTTACAAGGCAAACTTCAGCAGGGCAGAGCCATTGAGGTGGGCCAACAACTCCGGCTGTGATTTTCTGGAGAAGAAGTGCATAGAAAATAAAAAGTCGAATTTCCCAGAGATATTCTGCAACACGAGATATATAATCAAAGATTATTTTCAATGCACCTATGATCGTATGGCTCTTGGGGTCTGCGGAACAAAAAGGTATCCTGAGAAGCTTGAGCCGCAGTTCCAGTACCTGTGGAACGCCCACTATGGCGGCGATAAAGTTTATATGGACTACTGCCCCTATGTGCAGAAAGTCGCTCAGGGTGGTTGTACCGATGGCAGCCGGTCAACGATCGTTGGAAGCTTTATTGGCCCGGATGCACGCTGCGTAAAGGGCGAAGACCTAAAGTATAGGACGAGATCCATTGGCGATGTGTGTGTGAATACGAAGTGTGAGGAGGGCAAGCTGAGCGTGCAGTTTCTGGGTGATGATGAAAATAAGTGGTACGAGTGCAAGGAGGGGGAGCACGTTATATCGAGCAATGAGACAAACTGGTCTGGAAAGATTATTTGCCCCAAGTACGCCGATGTGTGCACCAAGTACCCCAACATCACCCATGAGGACACCTTGCCCGAGGTCACAGACGCTGACCTCAAGCCTGCTCCTGCGAACATCACGTGGCCCATCATTAAACGTGAAGTCCCGACCCCTCAGCCCACCCAATGGCCGACTCCAATAGGAGAGGACAGAGGTGACGCATCTCCTGAAGAAACGGTCCGACCCCATACTTCTGAAGAAGTTGGCCAGCATGATTCCACCCACCACAACATTCCAACAACAAGTGTAACCGTTGACGAGCACATGGAGCTCGCTGACTCTCACAGCCATCCTAGTGCAGCTCTCGACACAAGGGAAACACCGAGTGAGAATGTACAAGGTAACCATGTTGATGCTGAATCACCACCTCACCCAGTGAGAGCTCGGCGTGAAATAAAGGACGGGGATCAAGAAGACAGCGATACAAAGAATAACTGGGCTGCCAATGGTAAAGGTCGAGCAGCACATGTGCTTAACAACAATGACGCAATTACTATGAACATTGGTTTTGGTGATGGCAGTATCACTACTGCTGGTCATGCATCCCATCTGCTTCTCGTCCTCGCCAGCGCCGTCGCCGTGGTATTTGCTCTGTGAACAGCACCTGTAGCAATATGCGCTACACCGTGGTTTCCTCACACGGTAAACCTCCTCCACTCCCCAACTCCCTCCGCAAGTTCTGAACGGCGCATGTGCAACTGACACAACAAGGAAATCAGGCGCATCTGTCAACATATTCGCTCTGTTCCGGTGTGCCGCATCATGTATATTCTGTGCATGTGTGTTTGTGTGACTGATTTGCGTTGGCGATGTGGATGACAATACTTTTCCGTGAAAAGAACGTGATTATCATGCCCTGAATGCTGCAGTTTCCCCTTCATACTCTTTATACCTAGGGCGGTGTTGGTGGGCTGTGCTCTCTATGCAGTTGGAAGGTTTACTGGTTGGAACTCATCAACATAATTACTAAATACATACTGCTTCGGCTTTATCCATTGCATATGGGTCCTTCACTCTCTGTGTGTCTTTGTGTGTGTGTGTGTGTGTGTGTGTGTTGGACCCATTAATTTTTGGGAATCATCAATAAGAGTTTTTTCAATATATACTGCTTCGGCTTTATCCATTGCATATGGGTCCTTCACTCTCTGTGTGTCTTTGTGTGTGTGTGTGTTTGTTGGACCTATTACTTTTTGGGATATCATAAATAAAAGGTTTTTCAATATATACTGCTTCGGCTTTATCCGTTGCATATGGGCCTTTTACTCTGTGTGTGCGTGTGTGTTGGGTCGTCTGCTGGATTCTTTGTGCTAGTAGGTAGTTGGCGTGTCTCATTTGGTTTTACCTCTTTCTCTCTCTTTTCCTTTATTTTCCCCTTCCCTTCCTCACATAGTCTTTGAAAGCTTCAAAGCGAAAACGCACAGTTATGCACACTATGTGCGCGCGCGCCGTGGCGTGCGGTTATTCCACCTCGTTTTATGCATGACCGGATCATGAAGCGCATGAATTTTCGTTTACGGCGGCCGTCGCCCATCTCATCAACCACATGGGGACCGAAACGTGATGCCCTACGAGCCTTTTACCTAACACTAGTTCAAGCCCAGATGCTCTACGGTTTTGAGGTCTGGTATTGGGATGCGGGTCCTACATCACGAAAACTCTTAGATGCAGGTCAAAATAAATGCTTATCGAACCATAGCAGGAATACCATATGGATGTCGCTCCGCCGATACATTACGTGAAGCTCGCCTTCTTCCATTAGAGATGACGGCCATGATTCGGAGCCTCAAATATTTAATGCGATCCCAAACACGAGGTGGATCACTCATACAAAGCGCCGAACAAGTCTATCACGAAACCCATCCAGTACGAGAACTCCATGTGCGCATTATGAAAGTCTATCCAACACTCGTTATAGAGCCACGCGAGCCCCCTCTGCTGACACCAACACTACGGTTCGGTAAACGCGCTCGCTTCTTCACATCACTGGAAAACATATCAGCCGATGACCCAGAAGAAGAGAAAAGAGAAGCATCCGAGCGTTGGATAGCCCGTCACTTCCGCCGTAAAGGCACAGAACCGCCACCGCGTACACATTATGAAATTTGGACTGATGGTTCCATATTTCTTGGAGTCAAATCTGGAGCAGCAGCAATGATATACAAAGATGGTGAACTGCACTGTACCACACATAGAGGCGCTGGCCCCCTAGCTTGCAGCTATACAGCTGAATCCGTAGCGCTATACGAAGGTTTACGGAGACTCCTCAAAATAATTCCTGCCAATAACCCAACGCCATGCAGGGTCTCCATTTTCACGGACTCACCGCCGCTTCTGACGGCACTGGAAACAGGTCCACTGACCGTAAAAAGACCCTATACTTCGTCTCCTGTGGAACCTAATCCTTCAAGTGCAACGTCGCAAAGCCCGCATACGACTACAATTTATATTTGGACACTGCGGTGTAGTAAAGAATGAAAAAAGCGACACAGAAGCAAAGAAAGCTGCAGAACTCCCACAAAGAACTGATACTTGGATCACAGATATTATTGCCTACGCCAAACGAATACTTAAGGGAGAGGATACACCCCATCCCTCCCATAGAATCAAAAATTACTGGATCCTGGGAACCCACCAAAGACAACCCGGAACTCACTAGAGAAGAAGAAACAGCCTTAGCACGTTTTCGAACAGGTGCTTCGTATCGCTATGGCTGGTTGCTGAGAAAGATACAAACCCATATCCCCCTGGATGTCGCTGGTGTAATCCTCAACAAGTCAACATGCCAGAACCCGTTATTCCAACTGGCCAAAAACGACCGCACTATGC